TGAAATGTGATAAGTCCTTCATTGTGTGAGAGATTTTGAGTTGATACATGGCTTTGTCTTCAACATTGATTATATTGTTAGTTGCTTAAGATGCACTGAAAGAGGATGCCTTTCAAAGTAAAAGCAGTCCTCTGATTGTCCTAGATAGGGTTTTCTTATTAGTTAGGCTGGAACAGAAACATTTAGAAAATGTGGTTTACATGTACTCAGAATATCATCTGAGAATTCTTGCCAGGAATTTCATGGTGGTTAGATGGTATCCTATGTAATTGAAACTTTAAAGCACACCAGGCAAAATTTAATTAGGTAAAAATACAATGGTAGTAGTTTGAAAAGTAAGGATAGTCCTAAGTAGCTGTAACAATTTCAGACTACAGCACTGAAGTCTTGAGTTCATGGAACAATTAGTTTAATACAGTCCGATATTTCCACTTGTGTGTGTAGCATGACGTGCATAATTTAACAGGCATGCATACATGAAAACAATAATGACCTAAATATTTTCCATGGCAGACAGCATAAGTACAAACATTACAGATCACTGCAGCCTATATACTGGTGAAGGCATCGCATTTTAGATATTTGTACCACCCCTACACTCATATGAGGAATTTGTTGTCTTTAATGAAATATGGATTTCCAAGCGAAAACATGTATTTTAGGAGAAAATCAGCATTATCCAAATCCTCAATTGCTCAAAGCTCTTAGCATGCAAGACCCGATTTAACCTGAATCCAATGCAAATTTATGATAGGGCTTGACAATTGCAGTAAACCAACTATCCCTTAATGAACTAGTCAGAATGAAAGTAATTTTTACACTTATACCATCCAACTGTGCAAAGCTGATGGAGTACTAAGTACTATTGGCAGCAGTTATTGCTCTTGAAATATGCTACTACCAATTATTGACTTAGGGGAATGAATACTTACGGAATCAAAATACATTATTTATTATTGTATACTGTATATTATGCTGACATTCACCCTCCTTTGGATATAATAAAGTTCATTTTGATAATTAATTTTTTTAATAAAAAACGTATTTTTAAAATGAACACATTACATTTAAATCATTAAAATGTGATATCATTGGTAGGGCATGAATACGTTTGCAGGCCACTGTATGCACATATAATCACCTGTGGAAACTATGCCAGTTTAACATAAAGCGTTACTATACCTAAATTAAGAAAATTATATTCTTCCTATTAACTTATGAGTTTAACATATTTGAACTAACAGATACTTTTCTTGATAGACCCATGTCAAGTTAGATTTGATAGTCTTTAAACGGCAGAAAGAGGGATGATGGCAACATGCATACAGTAGTTTCCTCCAAAACATTGTCAAATTGCCTTCCTGTTTTGTACCATAAGCCCCACAAGGCCTGTGGATATAGAGGTCTGATGGCCTTATGACTGATAACATACCAGTCTTACAGGTGAACCGCCAGCAGCTGATACCCTTGTCCACCATCTGGTGCTTTTTATTTTATGTACAACCACCGGGAAACCATGGTCATAGTTAGCTAATGACATAAGCCAGACTAAAATCAGCATGATCTGGTACAGTTTACTCTATGCACCTTTCAACGTTAAGACTTGTAATCATGAAAACATAACAATTTTGAGGAAGGAATGCAGAACGACTGCTACAATTAACAAACGTTATTACTTAATATTTCCCTAATATTTCGTAGATACTTAGATATTTCCATTTGTCTTTTATAAGTCAGGCATCCAGCATATCAGTGATCTCTGAGAATTTGAATATAAGTTTCCCTATAACTCTATCATGGAATAGTAAGACCGAACCAGTAAAACCAGACTGGTGTCTTTCAACAGTTCTTAAATTTTCATTGGGTTAGTTGATGTCATTGTTACATTTCATGGTGCTCATACAGTATATGATGTTATTATGAGGATAATCACAGTGTTCAAGTCCATCTTACACTGTTACACAACATACAGTATGATAATAAACTTTATATAGCGCCTTTAAAGGTGGCTTCTCAAAGCGCTTTACAGAATGACAACAACAATCAATAAAAAGAATACACAAGATAAAACGCAATTACAATATACAAAGGAGACTGTGGATGGTGGTACTAAGAAAAGCAGAGGGGTGAAGAATGGAATCAGTTAAGTAAAGGCTTTTCTAAAGAAGAGGGTTTTGAGTCTGGATTTGAAGGAGTTTAGAGAAGGTGACTCTCTGATATCCTTGGGGAGAGAGTTCCAGAGCTTGGGGGCATAACAGGAGAAGGCCCTGTCCCCCATACAGTGTAGACAGGCTTGGGGGACAGTAAGGAGGGCAGAATTACTGTAGAAGAGTGAAGGTTGCGAAGTGGGGTATTATTGAGTCCACCATAGGAACGTAGGCAAAAATATGTGATGCGTATTGGCTATAGGAAGAGTAAAATAATTTTAAAGAGTGAAAGAATCTATGTGGGTTTTTTTCAGTCAGCTGTTAGAAAGCCTGTCTGAGAATGGTGAAATGACAGCTTCTTAGTATGATACCATTAGAATCTTGTTGTCCTGCAGAGTACTGAGTGTTAATCTCACTGAGACTTAGAGTGGCCTCGGGTACATTCAATTGTTGCTTAGAAATGTCTTTTACAGGATAACTTTGGTCCTTTTTGTCAGCTGGAACTCTATTAGACTTCAGAATGATGTCAGTGCTTAGCATTCTTCCTTTGTTTCATTTTCCCCAAATATTCCTGGATACACACTTAGAGTGTGTTTGTTCAGTGTCAGCATCATGCAAATGGATGGCATCTACTAAACTAAAGCAAAAATGCACTTTGTCAAACCAATTCCAATGCAGTACGCGCTGATTCCTGGAAGCACTGCAAATGTTGCAGAAAGGCACAATTCTGATCCTGATGGTGGTATTGTGTTGATAGATGGTAGCTATTCTAGTGACTGTATGTAATACTTTTCTTCACCCAGGGGCCCTGGGTTCAATTCCAGGCATACTGTAAGATGTAAAGGTCTGCTACCCGAGCCTGACAGTGCCTGACAAAGTATCTGGTTTTCGGGCCGGGTTCGGGTTGGTTTTTGCACAGACAGCTATGGGCTCGGGCCAGGTTCCGGTTTGTTTTCTAATAAGTGAAACTGAATTATTATTATTTTGTGTTTTAAATGTATTTTTATTAGAAGAAATTCATAACTCTTTTTGCGCGCGCACTCACATGGTAAAACCACGTCTGCAAGAATCCGTCTCCGTGTGTGCACCTGTGTCTACTCGCTCTGAGAGGAAAAGAGAGTGACCGTTTTCGGGTTTGGGTTTCAAATTTGGCAGTACCATTCAGGTTGGGTTAGGTCTTAAGGTCTCCAGTACGGGCCAGGTTTGGGCTTCAATTTCATGCCCGTGCAGACCTCTGATAAGATGCTGTCTTCACGGAGTTTCCCTCCAGGTTTGCATGTATTTCAGCTGGGTGCTCCTTTTACTTTCCGACAGTCCAAAGATATACTGGCAGGTTAATTGACATCTGGGGAGTTGGTGTGATTGAGTGTACAGTATGTTGGATTTGCCAAGTAAAAGTCTTGACTTGAATCCTATTGAGCATCTGTGGAAGGACTTGATAACTTTTGTCTATAAATAAACCACAAGCAATTTAAGAGAGCTTGAACAAATCTGCCAAGAAGAATGGGCAAAAGATGCACCAAGCTGGTGTGCAAAGGTGGTAAAGACAGAAGCCAATAAAACTACCAGTATGTCTTTGGACTGTGAGAGGAAACCAGGGATCCTTGTTAAAACCCACACAAACACGGGGAGAAATAGCCCCCCCCCCAATACAGAATTGAATGTGCTGCCCCAGCACTGCAAGAAAGCAATGCTAACCACTGTGAAAACACCCATGCCATCCAGTGTGGAATACAATGTGCATCATTTTCTATTTTCACAAAAATGGGACAACATAATAAATCGTCTGAATATTTCTTCAAGACACTACAAATGTTTTTCATACTAAAATCTAGATTATTGTTCTTAAAATATTTGATTTGTGGTATTCCTGGGAATAAAACCTGCCTTGGTTTAACCCCAGACCAGCAATTACTGATTTTAAAACTTGTTTATAGCTATATATATATAAAGTGTCTCAACCAGAACAAATTAGGCAGGAAATGCAATATTTCACAGTGGAAAACCATTTCAGTGATAGTATACTGCTCAAAATCCCTTTAAAGCAAGTAATCTGAAGATTAAAAAAGAAGACAAACAGAAGACAGCTTTATTTTGATTTTAAATTCCAGATGACAGGAACTAAGTGACTGAATATCATTGCTGAGGTTTTTTAAGTGATAATAAATGAATACAGAAATGGCAGTTTTCTCCTTTACATTAGCTGAGAGAAAAAAAATATTTTTGAATGTATAGGATGAATGGAAGTGAGTGTATTGCTGTGTAGTTCATTTGATCCACTTTATCAAAACTGAGGACACTTAGAGCTTGATAATTATACCAATAATGAGGGTAATGAGATTAATAACATTTGCAAAAACAAAATGTTTTCTGTTTTCTTTAAGATCCAAGGCACCTGGGCTAGTCAGACTACTGTTCCAAAGATTTCATTTTCTTGACTAGGAAAAAGCTTATCTTTCAATGGAATTTCATGGAATCTGTGAAAAGCCATGGGTGTTATTCAGATCAAATAAACTTGAATTGTTTTTTTTTTCAAATCAAATTTAACATAAAAATAAAAGAATATAAAAAAGTTCCAAATGAGAGGAGGCTCTTAAGTTTATATGGGATATTTGGTTGTTAGTAGGTAATTAATCAGATGATTCCATCCATTCATTTTTTGAAGGAAGCCAGGGTTTCAGCTTTCACAACATCGCTGGGAAGCTTGGTCATAAGAGTATTGGGACAGGGCTTGTGCTGTTAATGCACAATCTGATTAGTGTTTTCCTTAAACTGTCCATATTGCACATCCCTACATCAGCTCAACAGCACTGACATTTAAAGAGGGTGGTGTTCTTTTTTCTGTCATTGCAGTACTTCAACAACAGGCTGTCCATAGCCCACTAGAGAAGCAGCAGGGCACCTCAATTTTGTGCCACAACTGTGGGAAAGCTTGCAAAGGAGAGGTCCTGCGTGTTCAGAACAAACATTTCCACCTTAAATGCTTTGTCTGCAAAGGTGAGTAACTTTTTAGCTACTGCTGCTTAATTTCAGGGGGAAAAAATAGTGATGGCACTTTGTTTTGGGGGCACTGTGCATTCCACACTTGATTCTATGTTTCAGAGGTTGGCATACATTTGTTTCACTGATAATCCCTATTCCAATAGCTTTGCCCTTTTAATTAGGTGTTTATGGCACCAGCTGAAAAAGCTGTTAATACAGCTTTCAGTTGATGATACATTAGGGGGGCTGGTATGATATAATGCTGGCAGCCTAGTTCCCTTCAAACCCAGGTGGACCAAAGTTTAGTCAAACTTCGTTATAATATATAGTAAAACTAAATACTATAAACATTCTAGGAATTGCTTGTGGTCTCTGAAAAATAACCTTATATTTGTTCAAATTATAACTAGGCAAAACAGACATAAATTAGTTTACTAATCATTTACAGCAAGATTTGCTTCAATTTCTTTGATTCCAAACGAGTTTTTGCCACATATTTCATAAACAGTCCTGCAGGTGAAAAGAAATCACACCTGCATTTTCCGGGGATTTGCAACTTTCTTCCCATGCAGTTAGATTCAGAAAAGAGGGAGCTGATTTTACTCTGGAATAGAAGGTTTTGAAAATCATCCTTACAGTGTAGAAGACGCTGCCGTGAAGAAAACTAAACAGAGTGTTGATTGGGACTGGAATGAACTATGAGAGAAAATTGCTGTGCTATTTCTTCATCACGTTACTTAGCACTTACAGTATGTCCTCTATCTGTATGCTACCTTCAAAGACCTCACTGGATACACAATTAACTCTTGTCTATTCATAAATGAAAAGCTTGTAGTAATAAGGGAGTAAATACAGAGAAATAAACCTAAGCAGACAAATAATACTGTAATGTAGGTGAGCATGTTGTTTTTCACAAATTGACATTAAATTAATATCACAGAGTACCTGCATAATTTAAAAAGGAAGAGCTTTGAGCTCAGCCTTCCTCCTTTTGTCTGTGTATAACATTGTGATTTTGCTGTGGGATTGTGTATTTCTTTATTGTTTTGTACACTAATGAAGTTGCTAAGAGACCTCAGTTTGAACACAATTGTTGTTTCCTTTAAGCCATTTAAGCCAAGGGTTTTATTTCAGAGAACAAGAGAAAATAATGTGTATAGATTCTACATGTCTGTTAATAGATTATAAATGTCAACACCTAAAATAGTAGGTAAGAGAGTAAAAAACAGTTTAAAGACTAAGAAATTGAGTCTGTTTTACGTATTGTTTGCATCTGATTACTTTATATCCTTTCAGAATATATTGTAAGGCAACAGAGGTGTAAACCTGTAAATAAATAATTTATATTGCAGTTTATAAATACCCTTGGCATGTTGTCAGGATGTTGTGGTTTGTTGGTCTTCTCCTCTTAAAAGGCCTTCCAGAAGCTACTCTTGGGCATTAGAGCCATGAAATATCATAAATACCGGCTTTAATGATTTGTATGGCTGTCCAGTGTGTTCAATTTTCATTTATTATTATCCAATTTGAAAACATATTATAAATAGAATATATTTTCTAGCTTTTAATCCTCTTAATCAAACATAAGCTTGACATGTTTTTCAAACATAAGTGTTACAAATCCATCACTTAGCATACAACATCTAACCAGTCCAGTTGTTTTTACATGTTTACCACGTATTACAAATATTTTAAAGTGTATCAAGGCTCATATTATATTATTAGTGATGCTCAAATGGAGTGTCTTAGCCATAATCATGAAATCTGTAATGGAAACATGCAAAGTTAAAATTAAAATTCACTAAAAATTAGCTGCGATTGACTGTCATTATCACTCTTTGTCTCTGGAATAGGCTACAGGTTTAAGTGACACTAACAAATAAAAACCAAGAAATGCAGAGCTTTTGACAAAAATAAGTGGCTTTCTGATAATGGATTAACTTAAAATTATAAATTCACAGACCAATGAATGTGTTCATGGTGATTCCCAGAAATGGAACTCAGAAGGGGATATTGATTTACTTATGCATTTTGTGCAAATCAGTGTCCCAATGCATAAAACAGACTGTGTAATGTGTAGCTGTGTTTCCTTTCTATTTTAGTCTTTGCAGGACATACAAGCTTCATTTCCCTTTCTAAAAAAAGTATTAACAGATTGGAAGAGAATCTAAATGACATCTGTCCTAGAAATGGCAAAGTAAATTGAGACTTAAAATTCATTTTAAAACACAGTAGACAATTCTTTTTGCAAATTCCATATTTCAGATTTTCACATTATTGACACTTGTAGACAATTATTGAGTATGATTAAAATTTGGTTTTGGCAAAAACAAATGCAACATATGGTGTTAAACAGACGTTAAGGAGGAGATCATATTGTAATCTTGCACTTACACTCTCTTATATATAAATACTCACCTGCTGTCCACAACTCTGTGCACATCTTTTCTAATACTTGTAGAGCCCCCCCTCAGTCATTGATGTCTACTCTGCCCTGATGGTGCAAGTACACAACATCAGTAAGCACTTGGTAAGGGCTCCTCATTCACAGCCCCTGCTGTCATTGGTGCTCGCGCCTTGCTCGTGGCCTACTGTGCCATGGTGATAGGTTTCCTACTCCATAACCCCCCGCTGTGCTGGCGTCCAACTGGTGCTGAGTTGGTCCTCTGCTCTGAACTCAGCTAGGGCTGTGATTAATGCCAAGCAAATTAATGCAGAACACTAAAGTTTTAAGTATATTATATTTGCTGACTCATTGTGTCGTAATTAACATTTTACTGAACTACTGAAATGGTGTTGTTAAACAAAAGTTCAGGAGGTGGACTAATTGTTATTTTGTACTTTCCCTCTCTTATGTATAAATACTTACCTGCTGTCCACAACTGTGCATGTATCTTTTCTAGCACCCCTCTGTCCACACCAAATGCACCTTTGCAGCAGCCTCGCTGGTTCATTCCTCATTTCATTCCTCATAAGTGAGTAGGGTTGTGACTGCTTTGACCTTTAGCCATGGCTGTCTTTTCCTTAGCCAAGCAAGCTACAACCAAAACCTAACACATTAAGTACACCTAAAGTATTAAGAATATCATCATCTGGTCCAGCAATGAAACTAATAGAAGTATACCATTTTGTAATCTTGTGAAGTTTTTTACAACCTTCAAAGAATATTGATGTTGATAAACTTTTAGAAATGTGGAACTTTGGACAATACACTTTCTCCATAACTGCATTGTACTGAACGTTTTGTTTCAGTGTGTAACCTCTTTTATTATGCAGGGGCAAGCAAGGTGACCTCTAGAATGTTCAATAAACATTCTAATGCTTTGTGAAACTAACAAATGACTTTAAAGCATTAAGATGATTAAAATTCACACAATTTATTTTCAACTTACACAGTATACATAGTATGTATTTCAACATTGTGCATTGAGAAATATGTTAAATTGATTTTTTATGGTTATACTACTCCTTTTCATTCATCCATTATTTGAAAGCTGCTTATACCTGCCAAGGGTCACAACAACGTGGAGCTTAGCTCTGAAGCACAAATTGTAAGGTAAGGCAACACCCTGGATGGGATGTCAATCCATCACAGGGCATCCACAAGTATAATTTAGAGACAAAAGTTGGTTAGCTAATGCCGAGGTGCGAAGAAACTGGAGCAGCCGGAGAAAACATGCAGCTCTCCCGCTTACTTACTTTATTGCCCCACATGGGGAGTTCAGTTTGCAGGCAGGTAAAACTTGTAATACAATACATAATACATTAAACACAACATGACAAATCATTTAACAAATAAGAAACATGCATTTGGTGAGACAAACAAGTTAGCATCTTACGAAATCTTCACAATTTAGAAAAAAAACATTTTGCATAATGAAACAATAAATTGAATAAAATATGCAATGTTCTACAAATTATACAGGTCTGTACAAGGGTTAGGGATGGCAGTCAGTGATTCTTCCGCACTGTTTTGTATAGATTGTGGAGTTGTGAGGCAGCAGTGCTAGCTTCTTCACCATAGAGCTGCCTACATTTTTGTACTTTCCTATCTCATTTAAATTCATACCTACTGAAAAATCTCTTGATGTGTACCAGGATTTTACCGTATAAATCAAGGTTTAGTTATAGTTTTTCAATTGTGGTAATAAATTAGGAGATGATCATATACAGTCTACACTGTTGTAATATTCCCTGTAAAGTGATATTTTCCATTGAATTACCTTCCTTGACTATTGTTTGTCAATGACTGATTTTTTTTCTTGAAAGGAGAATCGCTTCAGCACAGACTTCCCAAATAACCCCTTTCACAAATGGTTTGTCCACCATGTTTTGAAATTGACCTCTAGAATCCTCTAGACAGTAGCTGTTAGCACCAGCTACCATTAGTTTTTTAGCTCTAAGTAAATGCTTCAGACATCCATCCTGGCTCAGTTCACACACTGGTCTATTGCTGTCACTATGTCTTCTGACAAGATCCACTTAGCAGATGGTTCTGTGCTTGTTGCCACTCAGTAACAAAAGTATTTTTGCAAACCGAGTAGCTGTATACTACTGCTGTCTTTTTATATGCCATAGTTCACCGCAGATTCATTACGTTGTCAAGGGACAGTAAAATATGTATCATTATTCTATCAATTAGCTACATGCTATGCCCATGAATTCTATTGCAGTGAAATTGAATGACAGATGTGACTTTATTAAGCAACAGTTGAATGGCTTGTTTATTTACAGTATATTGAATTGATTGCATTCTAGGTTAATTAGAAAAACATGTTTATGAACAGATTGCAACCAGCAGGCCGGTGGATTCAAGTTGTGTGCAGACCCATGAAAACCAAGACTAACTGATATCTCTAACACTCAAGACTTTGTGCTAAACATTTTAAGAGGTCACATTATACTAATTTACTGTTTTTGATAAATAATTTTTATTAAAATCTTCAGACACAATTTAGAATATACTGTACAGTGATGGTGTTTTGATTTATTTTCATTTACTGATATTAAAATAT